TTGCCAAACTGGCCAAAACAGAAATATTTTTACTTTTTCAGAAGTACACTTCTGTCTGAGAAGTATGCCGTCCGTTCAAAATTTTCTTCTAAGCAGAAGAGTGGGCTAATTTTATGGTGGGACATCATTAATAAAACGTGTACACTTCCATGCAAAAAACAAAAAAAACAACAAAAAAACATTTATTTGTTGTTTGAACACGTTCGGAGTCAATGAGAGTATGCCTGGAAGTATATTTAACTTCTTCTAGGGCTAGTCTTATGTATCTTTTCATAGATGTGTTATTTGATTCATAAGCTAACATCAATAATAACTTGGAGGGGATTTGGCATAACTTGCATGTATTCTACAAACTGCGGCACACACAGCCAAAGATGTTCAGCGTATGAAAAGAATACTTCGTTTGTTGAGTTTTGATTACGAAGTAGACAGAAAAGGTACCTGGCAAAAAGGTGGTCTAAGGCGAGCCGTCACTCCAACGGGCCGAAGGCCCGTTTTCGGATAGAAGCCAAACGCCGCCGGCAGGCCAAGCTGGGCCCGCTCCCTGCCGAACCGAGTTGCCGGTGGAGCGAAGCGGAGCTGGCAACTTGGTTTGGCGGAAGAGCGGGACCAGCTTGTCTCCCCTTGAGACGTTGTGACGCCAAGCGGCGGAATTTAGTGTTAGTGTGGTGTGAAGTGTCCGGTGCGTTATTCCCCGATGTGAAAAGTGTGATGTAATGCACAACTAGTACCCGAGGGGGAAATCACTAGGGTTCGTAGCGTACGGACTATTTCGTGGTATTTCTCCTACCATTTCGGTTATTTCTCCTGCCATTTCGGCTATTTCCTGACTATTTCGGATTATTTCAGGCTATTTCGCGCTATTTCGGAGTATTTCAGGGGTATTTCGCGACTATTTCACCGACTATTTCGCGTCTATTTCGTCTTTATTTCGCTCTATTTCGCCTCTATTTCGCCTTTATTTCGGTCCATTTCGGGGGAAGGTGTACGAACCATTTCGCAGGTGATTTCCCCCTCGCTAGTACCCAGCCGGGAAACTTGAGCTGCTGTTCGCAGTTACACCTTGGTGAGTGCACTCTTTATTGGAATCTCTGACCAGAGTGTGTTCACTGTTATGTATGCATTGTTGGTTTTGTAAACCCGTTCCTATGCCATGCTGATTACATGACATCTGTTTAACTCCGGCTATGAAGTGGTTGTTTTGATGCCGCGGTGTGTCCGCCGGGTAAAGTGTTTCGAGTGAATGAGTGTGTGTAACTCTGTTTACCTCTCTTTGTTTTCTCTCGAACCCCAAACCTTGTTTATGGCCCTATAAATGTATTTTTGGCTTGGTTGCAAGATGCCCCTATTTATATACTTTGCACTTGTTTTTGTGATATGTAAACGCCAACGTTAAAACAATCAAAAGTGTGTTTCCGCTGTATTTGTGACAGGTATCAGGTATCAGTGGGCTCGTTGCGCTGTATTTTGTATTTGTCAGTGTATTTCGTACTTTGTTTTGTCAGCTTTTTGTGGTCGTTGATTTTGCTTATCCCAGTTGGTCTATTATATATTGTTGTCTCCCGCTTATTGTTTATGATTAATCTTACATAAATTTAATATAACCTTGATGAAAGAATAAATCAAATATCAGATTGTTCTTTGAATGTTGTTTAAGCCCGGGTGAAACGGTTTGTATACAACTCACTAAGAAATTTTATTACAATTTATAGACTTTTATAAAATTGAATATGATTGTGTACACCGTAATATAACGATATAAAGGGTGTTTTACAAATGAGTATAATATTTGGTAAAACTTTATACAATTATATACAGAGGCATGTATACGTTTTTATAAAATCTAATACAATGTATATACAATAAACGTGTCATATATAAAGCGACGTATATCAGAGCATCGTCGTACCTCACGCATGTATACAGCCACATACATGTGAATAAATGCCACCTTGCCCTACATTAGAATGTATACAGGCACATACACTCATACGGTGACTGGTAACGTTTCTGGGCACTCCCCTAAATGTAGGCAAAATGTGGTTGAGTTCTAAATTGCAGCATAACTTGTAAACGGCTACACATAGGGAAGTGAAACAACTACTATCGTGCTCAGCGCAAAAAGATGATTCGGAAAACATTTGAGCTGAAAACGACAGCCACCCACTCAGGCCGCTTCTCTAGTGAGTAAATTGAAACGCTCAAGTATATATTGTATGATATTTTATAAGAAGGTATACTGACAAAGTAATACACTTTTACCAAATGTAATACAATTACCTTTATACAGCTTTATACAATTACTTGTATACCTCTGTATACAAACTTACTGTCAATGTTTTTTCACCCGGGAGTTCATTAACCTCTAAATAATTAACCTCTAATTACTTCGTATTGTAAATTTATTACTCAATCAAAGCATTTTTGTATCTCTGTACATATTTTGAATTTTTTGTCCCTTTGAATAAAGCATTCCTCTCTAAAAAGTTGAAGAATGAGGGGAACAACAAAACGGAAATCACTATGCTGTAGCATAGCTTTATCAGAATGCTTCATTTGTAACTACCTCAAACGTTTTCCCTATATATTAAACCACTTCTTCCAAAATGTTTTTGAACTTCAGTTATTTTTTGTAAACTCCTTCAAGGAACCCTATCGAACCTACATTATCAAGTTTCACCGAAAATTTTTAATTGATTTAGGAGTAGGACAGTGAGTTGCCCAATGAGTTTCTGTAATTTTACGAACGCTTGTCCAGCAGTGCTGGCTAAGCTCGCTTTAAGGTGAGACTTTTGAGATTTCGTGACTTCAGACCGCAGTCGCGAGGCAAAACAGGGCAACGAGTTTTCACTAGTCAAAATCAGAGTCATTTGCATATCTCTGTGATCAAAGTGGGGCATCCGCACACGATTCTCTTGCACACATTAATGAGAAAACGCGACTTTAGTCGGTTCCTATTGTTTCCCTCACTCCTTTTCGTTTGTTCGCAGTCATGGTTGAGTCGTCACTTAAAAAGAGCCGGAGCTTAGCCTTGCTGCTCTCAGAATGGCACCACGATGTTACTGACAGGTCGTCGCTATCGCGCAAGCTGCTAAACCAGCTGCGAGGAAGCAAGGTACCTTTTTTTTGATTGTTTTTCTGCGCACTTTCTGCACAGCTACTCAGATGTCCGAGCCGGTACTAGCTCTCCGGTAGCGTCCGAGAGCAATGCAGAATGGCAGGGGATTTAGATCCTCTGGAACTACGAAGCATTTACTTTGCAATGACTTACAAGGGGGCTTAGGCAAGTGTAAATTCCCGATCTTGCCCAAACTCGGTATATTTGTTTCTTATCTATGTTGATGACGACTGACGGTAGTATTTTTTCCTGAGAGTCAATTTCTAGGGTACTTTAGGGGGGGAAATAATGGAAAAAATATTGAATTTGGGCCAAAAATGACGGAAGGAGGTCTCAAATCGAAAAGTGTCAGAGGAACTACCCCCCCAAAACCGCTCATTTTGAGTCAGAATATCACTTAATATTTGTACAAAAGTAGAAATTTGTATTTTG